ACCGTGGTAACGACCCACCGTTATTCAACGTTTGCCGAACAACGTGAACTCCATAAAGACTAAACGAATGCAAGATAGTACGCCCTAACATTAAAATAGGTAATAACTAGGTACCACAAATTTTACTCACTTGACCCTAAGCTTCTTCAGATGTTCAAATACTCTTCCACGGAACGCGGGTACGAAATAGAAACTATCATTTTTTGAAGTAACTCCCATAGCTTTCTCTTCGGACAACCAAACAGCTCCAACTCCGCAGTCATTCATGATCTATAATAACCAAATCTCATCATGGAACAATCTCAGGAATAAAGCTGTCAGTCAAAAGCATTATGTTATCAGCAGCTATCCCCAAAATGACAAACCGTGAATGTTTCGCGGTAATACTCCTCTTCTTGTTTCGTGATGGAAGGGTCACTAGGCTCTATACAGTATACGTCCACAGGTTCCCCAATGTTTTCTTCTTCGCCATCCTGAAAGAGTTTTGTCATTTTTCACTGAGAGTTCCTTGAAATCCTCGGAGAAAGAGTAGCGAACCACTGTTTTTTTTCAACTTTCTCTCAATCAAAATATATCCATAAAAATTCCCAGGTGAAACCCTTGTATAGTTTCTCGAAGACGCATCAAGCCTTACTGCAATGCAGAGTCAGGTCTGTGAGGAAAACATGGTCGGTCAAAGGCTGCTTAGGTTACCTGGGAAGAACGCAAGTCGTGCACAAGGTCATTTCACCAGAAGTGAAACTCAGTCACTGGTCAAAACAGAGTGCAGTTTTCATGACTTGATAAGAGTGTCTTAATCTGCGACATGACTTTGTGGGATGCAATCCACTTCTCTCTACCAATTCACATACAATACCCATGAGCGGAAATGAAATTCTGGCAGGCGGAGCTCCTTCCAAGCGCACGATGAAACAACAATATCTTACTAGTTAGATCAAAGCCGTTTGGGTGACGCATCAGTGCCTTTCACACAACTAGTTTCATTCCCAGGTGCTAAGCTTAAGTTGACAGCCTGCTATTTCACTTGCACAGGGTAAAGTATTGAGGGTAAAGGATAAAGGATAAAGCATTTGCCGTTGATCAATCCCTTTTTGGGATGCGGCACGCATTCTACTTCCATTTGTACATTCGTAGTGGCGTTTGAATGCGATGTGGCCTATACAATGACTTGCGGGGGCCAGCCGATGTACAAGTCAGTGTTTTTATCCTCCCAGACAAGTCTGGTACCAATTAACCGACCCCGGAGGGATGGAAGGCTTGGAATAATAAGGTTCGTCTGAGGAAGGAGCGAAACGAACCGTATTAATTATTTGTTTATAATGGTTTTTCTTTCTTAATTGGTTGGCCCGGGCGACTCACGACCCAGGATTTGATCCCCGGACCGCTCGCGTGGTAAGCGTGCCACTTGCCACTACACCACTTCCGCCCTATTGAGGGTAAAGCCTACACTATTACAAGTAACATCGAAACCAGCAATAAAGGCAAATAAGCTACCTGAGATGTGACAGGAACGTTTTCCCGTGACCGCCGAGATTTTCGCGGTGCCCCCGGTGTGTTCATTCTATAACACAACAATAGCAGACACTGAACATGCTCCATTCCTACGATTGATAATAAGATAAAACCGGAGTAAATAACAGGGGAATCTACCGTAATTGAACACTAAGCGTATACTATAAGCTTTATTCAGCAATGACAATCTGACAACGATTTTAAAATCACCACTTATCCACGAAGTTTTGAAAACACGACGAATCAACGGTCAAGGAAAGATCTCACAATCTTAGTAGAACTTTCGAAAGGGCCAATCATGGTGCTATCGATCAAAACCGTTGGGTGGTTCACTAGTCAAAGAAATTGCCTTGCTTATTATTAAGGCGTTTGAATGAGCAACTCTCATTTGCCTTTCGACTATTTCAGGCTCTCGCGAAGGCGAGGGCGCCGATACGTTGATCTAAATCAAGTTTTACCAATCTTGGAGAGATTCCACGAAAGACAAAGAGGGTATTCATCATTCGAATATTGAAGAAAAGTTGACTTGGATCAGTTTGAACGATAGTTATCGAATTGAGCAATTTCTTTGTCTCACCCGCATATAAAAAATCAAGTGGCGTAATTCAGCCATAAACAAGTATTCCACTGGATGGTCATTTCACTGGTTATTCCACTGGTTCCACTTTCCGTCGAATTTCATTGGTTAAATCAAATACTTCTCCATTCCAACGAAACTTCACGGGAAAACCATGTTCATCGAAAGTGAACAGAGGGAACAATTTGTCTGCCGTTTTCGACATAATCAGACCGTAGTCTTCGAAAGGGGCTTTGTGGTAGAGGCGACCGTTACGCAGCATTGACAACGAGGTAGGCTGAAATCAGTCCAATCAAAAAATGGCAGGCGAGCCCAAAGCCCCCAGCCCATTATAGCGCTCAGATAAACATCAGAGACAAACCTGGAACAAATATGTTCGTGAAGACTGTCCGATACGCATCACTGTTCCATTGTCCAGGATGTCAGTAAAAACTATGGGGCGGTCGTCACATCGTAGGAAATTATGTTCCCGACCGCAGCGACTCAAGTACGGGAATGAATCCTGAAAAACAATTCCAATCATCCTTCCGAACAAAGGCCAAACAGAGTTCAACCCACAAAGAGCTCTTATGAAAAGCATATGCGCCTATATTTCACTAGGCATCTTATTTGAAGAAGTTTTTACAACAAGAAGTGGTTGCAAAATGCATAAGCCTTTAGGAAAAGTGATAAGGTAATAACAAAGCTTCATGCGACTTGAATTAACTAACCCTATATCGATCCGTCTCGTTCAGTCGTAATTGCTTGTAAAAGAAGTTCAGGAAATCCACATCTTAAAATGCGCGACTGTTAGAAAGTACTCAGCTGCAAATTTTCATTCCGCTATCACTGAATGCTATATAATTTTTTAAAAATTACATGAAGAGAAAGAGATAAGCCCATCTAAACTATTCGAAAAGAGTCTGAGATAGACTGACAAACCCTTGTAAGCAGATGTGAAGTTCTTGAATCGTGAGTCATCAAGGAACAACATTCCTTCATGATTAATATAGTAGAAGTATTCTCTGAACGAAAGGGTGAATACTAATGAATTGCTCATGAGCGAAGAAAAAAGGCTTGAAGAAATCAGTTGTG